AAGTCTGGGGTGCAGGGAGGTGTCTTACAGGACTGAGTTCTTATGCTGTGCAGTATGACACAATCTCTGGGTGGTGTCAAAGTGGAGTTCCTTATTAGTGTAGAGAAGTGTATCCATCACCACCCTCTACCACAAACACATATTGCAAAGTGGGTCCAGGAACCCAGAGAGGCAGGTGTTTCTAAAAAAAAAACCCATTATTTCTTTTTTATTTGTAAAGTGGCCTTATGGTGAAAAGGAACTTTTGGAGGTAGGGTGCACATTTCTGTGAATTTCAGCATACGGAGGTTCCTGTAACCACTGCCACAATCAAGATAAACAACAGTTACAGTCACATCTTCCCCTCACCCCTAACCACGGACAGCCACAGATCGGCTCTTCATTACAAGATAAAACTTTTCAAGTTTTATGTAAACGACATCAGAGAATCTTTAATGCTTTGAGACTGGCTTCTTCTCTCAGCCTAATGTCTTCAGGATCCACCCAAGTTATTATGAAAATCATAGTCTGTTTCCTCAATCACTGAGTAGTTCCTTCCAATGACTGTACCATAAACTGATTGGGTACATAACCAAGGAAGGACGTTTGGATTACTTAGGGCAATTAACATTCACACACAGGTTTTGTGTATACGTCAGTTTTCATATCTATAGATCAAATATGCAGTAGTGGGATGGCTGAGTGGTAGTGGTGGCTGTAAGTCTACATTTTCAAGATCCTTCAATCTGTTTGCAGCAGTGGCTGTGCTGGTCTGAGTTCTCACTAACATAGTTGATCCACATCCTCATCAACACTTAGTATTCTCAGTGTTTCCACTTAAGCCACTCTGCTCAGTGTAAGTGGCTGGAATTCATTCCTGATGCCTTCGCTTTCCCACTGTATCCAATTCACCATCGAGTCTCTGGAATATCTTGTATGTTTCTCTCCAACTCCACCCAACCATCCTCTCTCCCCTGGGGCTACTGCAACCTGGCTTTCTCTTCTTGCCCTCAGTTCTCCCCACAGCCACTGGGGGCTTTTAGGAGCCTTCAATGAACCATGGCCTTGCCCTGAATAAAACTTCCAGAGGCTCCCCATTCAGATGCCCTCTTCAGGAGCTGCCAGATCTCATGCCCTCCAGCTCCCCTCTCTCTCCAAGCACTTCTGGGACCATTCCCCTTCTCTGATCCCCCTACCATCTCTCTGCTGGGCCGGCCTCAAGCAGGTGGAACTGTCCATCACACACCACACTTCTCCTGGCTGGCTCACCCCCTCTTTTTGGGTGACTCCCCAAAGTCAGGCTTTCCTTGATGATGCAATCTCTAGTGACCCTCCTCCCCTGATAATAGCTCACACTAACTGCTCATTTGTTTACTATGCCACTTTTCCCTCTAAACCTGGACAGCTGTTGCCATGTCCGTTTTATATAAAATTTAACATCACAGTGCTATTTTAATTTTAATTTCTCAGATTACACAATGGGGTTGAAATAGTTGCACACTTATATTTCTGCCTGTACTTGCCTTTTCTCACTTGGTTTTCAGCAGTTCTTTGAATATTCACATATAACCAGTTGTTAATTTTATTGAAATTAATAATGTCAATATTGTTGCAATTTTGTTGAGAAACAATGATCTTTTACTTTGCTAAGGATCATTTTTCCCATAGTTTTATATGTTCAAATTTGGCATTTCTTTGACCAGGTATATATCAGAGTGATACTAGGAAAAGTCTTCTCCTTTACAAGACTTAAAGAAATAATCTTATTTACTATCTATCTATCTATCTACAACTCCACAGTTCTCAAAAACATATAGAGAACAAGCATATTCACGCTACACCTGAATTTTACTTTCATAATGTGATAGTAACTAGTCCATGATCCCAACACTATTCACTAACTTGGGCATGAGTTCCTACCCTGATCTGAAATGAACTCTGTCAGGAGGCAGAAAGTGTCCTCAGAATGGAAACTAAAACAACAAATTTGTATCAGTTCTCTACTCTATGAGCAAAATTAAAGGTTCCAGACATCCAGTGTTGGAGAAGGTACGTGGAAGTGGGCACCCATGTATAGTTGATAGGGATATAAGTTACAGGACTTTTTCAGGAAGGTGACATGGCAATATATCGATCAAAATTGAAAAGCACATCTCTTGACCCAGGAATTACATCAATTAATTATATATCTCAAAACCATCCAGGTAAATTACTCACATGTGGTAGGTAGGTAGATAGATGAGTAAATGATAGATACATGATGGGTGGGTGGGTGGGTGGATGGATGGATGAGTGGATGGATGGATGGGGGGGAATGGGGGTCAAGGGTTGAAATGCCCTAACATGGAGAGCAAGAGTGTTTTTTCTTTTTTTTTTTCAAGCCACAGACTACTTGTAAACTATGTATGTATGATATCTCCTTTCAAGTATATGCTTTGCCTGGAACCTAGAGACTAGATTTCTAATCTCAATCTCTATTTAGATATGTTGTGTAGCTCTGGGCAAATCAATTAGCCTCTGCAACTCTATATGTACAATCCATATGCAAACATTTTCTATATCCTAGCCTTCAAATATTTCCATAAGAATAAAAATAGATATTTTAGAGATTTGAACACCATTGCCAATAAGATGTTAGTTTGGAGAAATCATCTACGCAAAGAATTTCATGATTACTGGCAAAAAATAGTGAATTTCATTTGTTGTGTCTGCCAGTAAGCAGTTCTATTTTTATGTTTTGGAGGGCATGATATAAGATACAACAAGAAACACGGAACAGAATGGCCCTGGGGAGGAAACTGCATTTGGAGCAGGGCCTTCTGGACTCTCTAATGATAAGCAAATATTGTTTTAGTGGAGGGTGACTAAAACCTTAGAGATGGTTTGAAAAATACATAGCTGTCAAGGTGGGTCTTTTTTTTATATATGTATAATAGTCTATTTTTACATCATTTTGTACTTTTTTTTTTATCTCAATTGTAATCCCCGTGGGCTTCCCATCACCAAGTCACCCCTGTGCCATCACCATAGTCCTGTGCACTCCCCTCCCTCCCCCCATTTTTGATCCCATTCCCCACTACACCCCCTTTCAGTGGGTCATTTTTAAGACAAGGACTCAGTCAGTCATTCACTCTACACATATACCAAACACTTAAAAGATGTTTAATCATTGGGATATTGACATCTTTCATTCACTTAACAGTGGCAAGATTGCGGTGGACAGAAAAAGAGTCATTAGATGAGTTTGAGCAAGGGTTGGAAGTAGAATTTGAGGATATGGTTCACGGACCAAAAGTAGAATTAAAATTGAGTGTTTTTTCTAAGAACAGGGTGTCGCCCCGGAACACGGAGGAATGGGAGCAGGAACTACTAAGACATAAACCCCAGAGTGCAGGCCAGAACCTGCGTTTGGAGGGTCTCTGTACCCCTCGCCCCCGTGGGGGGCCATCCCGCACCCCTGGACACTGTCGTTTCTCCCACTGTTATAATAGGAAAAACACACAGCGGGGGCAATTTCAGGATGCTTACCCCCCCCCCCCAGAGTCCCCCGGGGTGCAGAATCATCCGCAGTGAGTTGCAAACACTCAGATTTCAGCATTGGCCTATCAGTCTCTCCCCAAGCTGGTCTCCAGAAACCCCAAAAACAGACATAGGGATTTCCCCAAATCGGGGGGGCGTTCCTGAGCACCCTTGAGACGCATGGCAACAGCCTTGGGGCACAGTGTCACACTCTTTGCGGGGTGGGGGGGGAGCCCCTATCTCCACAGCTTGGGGGGGGATTTGAAATGTAAAGGGCCTGAATTGGCCCTGAGCCAGGGCTGTGCTGGGGGTCCTGCGCGTGCCCCCAGCGTTCTTCGGGGGCAGGAGGGCAAGGCTCATCAGCACATAGGGCTGGCTCCAACTCTGGTCTCCCTCAGGCCAGTGTCATAGCGGGGGCTCAGCACCTGAGCACAGTGGGGCTGCAAAGGCTGAGGCTTCGCTGGCGGGCGCGGGGCAGAGCGCGAAATGTGCCTCGGAGCCCGCAGACTTCCCCGTGGGCGAGCGCTCCAGCTTGAAAAATAACCCTGCGGGTTGGCATGACTGGCTTTCTTACAGACACCAGCGGTGAGTACAGCTTCCGTGCCGCGTACGGGCCTCGCTCGAGAGGGGCCCTTCGCTGCTCTTTCTCCTTTCCAAAACCAAGCAGCAGCTACCAAGTGCCGCCACCTCCCGACGCCCACGCAGACTGGAAACCGGCTTTATCCGCACCGGCACGCACCGCTCGGCCACACGCAAAGAGCTGGGAAGGTGCCACTGGCGGGCTTGGAGGAATGTTCTGGAGAGCTGGGCGCACACCTGGGAAGAAAAGGAGCTTCCCACTGACTGATGAGATGCACAGCCTGGGAGCTTCAGACGGCCCCTGGCAGAGCCTATATCCCCTTTAGTTCAGAGGGCCTGTGCGCCGTGCCAGAGGCTCAGGGGGACAGATCAGAGGCAAGAGGCTGGCTGGACCTGGCATAGCAAGATGGGCGCGAAGGCAGGTTGCAAGCCAGTGGCTGTTCCACCAGCGACGGGAGCCGGAAGCCGGCCATAGTTGTCTCGCAAGTGACCTTTCCAAGGGTCAGTCTCAGCAGAGGCCGCCCAGGGGCTGAGGGGGTGGAGGTAGCCGAGCAGAGGAGGGGGAGGGGCAGCATGGCTGGGGTGTGCAGGGGCGCAGGGGTGGGGGGCTGTCCAAGAACCAGAGAAAGGCCCCCCTGGGAGAGCGGTGGGCCCTCCCCGGGCATCAGTCAGGTGGTAACAACACCCACTAGCCACCACCGGCCTCTGCTCTACCCTCACAGATGTGACCCCCAGTGGGGCCAAAGCAGAGCGAGTGAGTGGGAGAGGAGAGAGGGAAGGAAGAGGGAAATGCAACTGTGTCCACTGTACTCTGCATCCGGAGCAGGGAAGGAGAAGCCGCACTTGGAACAGAATCGGGCGGCCACAGTCCTGTGCGCTGGGGCTACTGATGCCAACCTGGGCTGAACGCCCCCTGCCTCGCTATGGCCCCCACGGTCAGTCCCACAGAGCTGGGCCCTGACCTCCTTCCTGTGCTGCCTCCGTCTCCCTGCAGCTTCCCTGTGCTCTGCCCGCCACTGTGGCTCATGTCAGGGACAGCCTTCCCCTTGCCTGGACAACCTTGCCCCTCAAACTCCTCTGTCCTGCTGGTCTGTGCCCAGGCACCCTCCTGTCTGCCCCGACTCTGCCTCCCCAGTCTGTCAGCCTTCTTAGCACCAGCCCTGCCCCAGCTTGATGCCACGTGTCTACCCACCCAACAGCCTTGATGCCACGTGTCT